TTTAGCCGATCGAGTCGTTTTAAAAAATAACGGTTCATCAACATTGTACTAGAACAATGATTCCGAACCTGGGGGTAATTACCAATCAATTATTCTGTGGGGGTAACAAAGAACCTAACAATATCTAATCTGATAAAATACGTAGCTAGATAGTAAAAATATAAAATTATAGATGTGTCGATGTTTATACAACTGTATACACAATTGGTAAATATTAAACCAAACAAAATCACATTTGAAAATTCTGTGATTCAGCATTTATCTGCAGCAATAAACCCACTGAAGCCATATTTTCCGGATATGGATAATCGTCAGTCCAGTTCTTGGATTTTGAGGCCATTTACTATGGATGATAAGATTATTAAAGACAAAGACCTGGCGGCCAAAGTGGAATATCTTTGAATACGCCAGAATACTACTTGCAAAGTAGAATTTCAAAATTATGATCTTAGCACATTTTGGCGAAAAGCTCGTGCCGAATATCCTACTCTAGCTAACAGACCTTTAAAAATGCCAATACCCTTTGCCACCACCTATAGATGTGAGAGTGGATTTTCAACTGTGGTTACATTGAAGACAAAGACCAGAATCCTTCTAAATGTGAAACATGACTTAGGATATGCTTTAAACGAAATTAAAGCTAACATAAAAAAACTAAATGCAAAATAATACCAACCATTACACTAACTATTTTTACTTAATTTATTGTTTAGATATATAAAATTGTAAGACTGATGTGCAATTTGTGATTATTAAAGATATTTGTATTTGCTTGTGTTGTTTGTATTGGTTGGAGTAAAAACAGTTTTCCTAATAGGTCACAGAGGTAACAATATTAAAAAGGTTAAGAACCACTGTACTAGAGACTAGGATAATGCATACCTGTAGAGGTTCTTCCGATAAAGATCGACCGCTGAATGTTTTGTCCATCTCTTTTTAAAATAAAAAATATAAATATTCTCAGTTTTTCTATAAATGAGGGATATTTTATACTGTATGTAGTTTAAACGAGTGCATTCTCCAATTTTGTAAATATGATTAAGTAAAACTGATGGTCTTTACTTCATCTATAAATTTCTTGAATTCATCCCTGAATACTGCATTATTAATAATTTTACTAATGGTGAATATGTTGTAAATATTTTATATTTCACTGTACTTTTTCTTCATTTTGTGTGTGGTAGGTCATTTGGTTATTTATAGGAAAAGAGTTCTTTTTCTTTTAAATAAAACGGAGAGAATGTATAGTGAATTTTTACATATTAAAAACGAATTAAAATTATATCATGACAATAGTAATTTATTGGATTAAATTTGTCAGTATAACAGACCTTCTAAGATACATTCAGAGGTATAACAATAATGGCATCTAATAAATTTTTACCACGGTGTGGTATAAAGAATTTGCACAAGTGCCTTTAGCCGTCATTTTGTATAACTAATAAAGTTATATAGGTTCAATAAATTCAAATTAAGGCTTTTGAATGAGTGATACGCTTATCTTAAAAAAAAAATTGGGAGTCTGGTTAGTTAAGGGCAGTTTTCAAAGATGCAGGTGGTATTTTTAGTGAGACATGGTTAAAAAAATATTCCATACATTCGTGAAGATATACATTTTCGTTTGAGCGATATAAAAAGAAAAACGTCAACAAAGAAACTGTTCTATGAACAATTCGTCTTAAAGGTATACAATTATTTATATCTGTTGGATGCTGATCACTCGTTTATACGACCACAGAATATTCCTGATTTTTGTCGGAAAATTCGTATGAGTTCCTATTGTGATGGCAATCCCATATGAATTATTCCTCAACATTCCTTAACAGCAATACATATTACTCTGTGTTTTACAACTGAACATGGGGTAAACTGCTAGCTTCGTCTAACGGTAATAGGCATAAAAAGACTTTTATGAATTTTAGAATTATTTTTATAACCCACTACGACGGTTTAGTCCCACCTGACTTCGTTATGTGGCTGAAACAATAAATAATTTTCCATCTATTACAACGAAGTAAACGTGTGGTTTGAAAATAATAAGTAATGTCTGAAACTACTCATCCAATTTCAAAAATAATTCTGATTTGTATTAGGAATTATATTTAGAAAGAATCTTTAGGGTAAACATATTGTCACATGTATGTAAGTAATCCAACGTACAGTGTCACGTGTAGGCAACGTAACATAGGTACATATCAATCAAAAAGACCAGATTTTCGAGATGTCACATTCTGGACCATTTTAGAACATGGCTAGCTCTTATAAATAGTTGCCTTGAAGTCGGGAATTAGTACCAGTCCGAGTTACGAGGCAATACTAAAGCGAAGTAGAAAGAGCGAAGAAGCGACAAAGTGTTATTAATTAATAGTAGTGGCTGATGGTATTGATTAAAAAGTAAACAGTTAAATAAAAATAATAGTGTGGGAAGGTGTTTAACGTGACATTTAGTGTCAGGAGTGGGATAGAAGAAGGCTGAAGAAGTTTGGATGAAGAGAATTTTTGAAAAATTTTATCGAATATTCTAGAATATTGCATCTGCCAATTTTCTGGAAGTCTCTATAGAAAAAATATTACTACAGCAACAGAAACGTGTTTTCATACTGGAATAGAAGACACTTCCAGCTATTCAACACTGCATTCGTTTCTTCCGATCGTAACTTACCCCAACAAAATATACATCGTTAAATAGCACCTGAATAGAGAAGAACGAATTCGATGTCATCACTGAATTTCATTGAAATTTTCTGGAAGTTTCCACGAATCTTGAATAATCCTAGCAAGTCATACATCATTAGGAAGCTCACGAAGAAAGATGAACGATTTTGCTGTAAACAAGTATAATTTATTATAAATCGAAATATTTCATATCATTTATAATTAAAGGCATTGAAGCAAAAATGAAGGGACAAATAACGGCTTTAATGGCAATGATGAGAGAACTGAAAGCAGACATAAAAACTGGAGAAGTAGAAATGAAATGGGGACAAGAAGAAATTAAACTAGGACAAGAAGAAGTTAAACAGAAAATGGAAGTAGTACCTTCAAGATAACATGAAAATGAGACACGAAGAATTAAAAACACCTCAAGAAAGAAATGAAACCCAAAATGGAAGGAGTACGGGAAGTAACAAATATGAGAATGGAGGACAAGATAAACATTATTAGAAATGAAATGGAAAAGAAGTTAGAAGAAACGGAAATCAGTATGAATAGGAGCTTTGAAGAGAGGGAAATGAAGGTGGAACAGAAGATGAAGAAATGGAAATAAAGATCGAAATGAACACAGAAGAACAATGCACAATCTTTCTGCGGAGATGGATGACAGTCGGGAAGAAAGATATTACGAGGGTTACAGCAACTACACGAATGTGACTTCGATATCGAGCATCGCATAGACAAACAAAACGGCAACGCGGATAAAATACATTAGAGATCTTGTGTGAAAAATTACAAACGCTGCTCATATGCGGAGAAGAAAGAAGGACTGGCATCAACATGTTGTAATTTAACCAACGTTCAACCTTTGAGGAATCCTGAGAAGATAAGAAATTAATCGAAGATCAGAAGAAGGACGAGGGTATTGACCCAATAATGAAATGGAAAGAAATTGGAACTTCAAGACTATCGTAGCAGATGTGAGCCATCTGAGCCAGACAACGAAAAATTATTGGGCTCAGTGGACATCCTGTGGACTTCCCGTAGATGTGTGTAGGTGCGTGCGTGCATGCGTGCGTGCGAGTGGTGTGTTTGCGTGGTATGGGTGTGTGTGCGTGGTGTGGGTGAGTGTGCCTGTGTTATTTCACAAACTGGTGAAAATACTTGACAAGAAAGCGTCTATGGATATCTAATATATAGTAAATAGTAGATGTTAAGGCGGCAATTTAAATTCATTGAAAGCGATTGACCAGTTTCGAACGCCACATTGTCGATTTTATTCGTGATTTGATTGGTTCATTCAAATTTATTAAAGAATTTTGTCCCGTGAACCGTCTGAAAACAACAAGCAACTACAATTCATTCAAACAACATTCGAGCGATTCGAACGTTGCGTGATATACATATACAATTGTGATTCAAATGATTTTTGTTATTGGTTATCTGAACATTGGAAAGTAAGGGTCGTGTTTTGAAAACAAAAATTGACGAAAATAAAAAGAAATGCGAATAGATCATTGTAACATGTTCAGGGAAAGTTATTAAAGAAAGCTTGCACGATATAAAACAAAAAAAACTTAAGGCAGTCTAACATTAAATCATGAGAATGTGAAATACTTAATATTAAGAAATGATGTAGGTACGAGATGTGGCAATTTAGTTTCGATATATAGTTGTAATTTCCCACCAAACAATACGGCGGAGTTCGATTTATGTTATTTCAAATGTTTAACGTTCTTTAGCATCTGTAGAAGGTAGAATGTAGAATGACGAAGGCGGTAGGTCGTTTGGTTAAAAATTACTTATATTATGGTATGAATTTCCAATATAGCACTATGTTGTGTTATTGAGCGCATTGCCACACTCGAATGCAATTTATGGATTAAATTAAATTAATAAAGTAAATAAAATAATTTTTTTGTCTGGGATAAATTTTATAATACATCACTGCTTACAGACATGATTCTAATTAGGTACAACTTTGAAGTATATCCTTATTCGGATCATTCTAAGCAAATAATTTATGAACATGTATGCTGATCTATCTAATTTTTCGTTTTAAGAAATCAAATTTATTTAATTTAAAACATTTTAAAAGCATAGCAGAATCGCAGGGAATTGAATGCCCACGATAGCTCACAATAATGTACTAATAAAGTAAAAGGCATATATGCAGGTGTTTTTTAACACATCCAGAGAATTACATGTTGCATGTAATATGTATATTCAAGTAAATGCATAAATTTACATTTAGACACACCATTATTAACAAATTTCACCACTAGCTTTATTTTATAGTACCTTAACAAATAATTTCGAAATAAAGGGTTTTACTTTGCTTGCAGTTGATGAAGATGACGCGTTCTATTTTGGGAGACCGCTTATTTATCGCATTGATGAAAGCTACCTTTTATGGTCATTTTGTGGCGGGGGAGGACCAGTATAAAATTCGACCAGTTCTGGAACGATTGCGGTCCTTTGGTGTAAAACCTATTCTTGACTATTCCGTAGAAGAAGACTTGTCCCAAGAGCAAGCTGAAAAGTTAGAAGTCGAGTAAGTCAAGTTACTTTTTCTTATTCCACGGGTATCATTTATGATGAGCAGGCTAAATGACCTTTCTAAAACGTTTGAGAAATAAACTCACCAGGTGATATTTAATATCTCAAAATCAAGTAATGAAATACCTTAAACATTATAAAGTAAAGCGTTTTATTTAATAATAATAATAAATTCATAAGTGTATTGTCACCGCAACTTTTTAATCTACACTCGAAGACGCGATCAACATCATTAAAGACAGTACAACTGTAGGGATAGATTTACAAGGACAAAACATTAGTATGCTTAGATTAACAGATGATATAGCAGTATTAATATCTAGCAAGGAGGACTTAGAGATAGCTTTAAATAAAATGGAAGCGGTACTAACAGATCAGTACTGTATGAAAATAAATAAAAGCAAAACTAAAATACTAGTATGCAAGGGAAGAAAAAGTAGGGAAAGAGCGAATATAAAGATAGGAGACGAAAAATTAGAAGAAGTGGCTGATTTTAGATANCACACTTCGATATTTTACGTATAAAATCATTTAAATAACAATTTCCACAAACTTTAAATTCTATACCAAAAATCGCTCAACGCTTCACGAAGTTTTCACATCAAAATAATAAAATAATGCTGTTAATTAAGAATTGATTGGACGTGGCGTTGTATTGTATTTTTTTACCAAGGCCGGAATTAAGTTCGTCTGTAATTTTAACTACGTTTTTCCCTGGAAATTTCGGACATACATTTACTTAATTTTCTTATTTTATAATGCGGAGCTTGCAGGAGGTCCCGCACCTATTTCAGTTATGCCCTGTTAAGCGACAAAATAGATGCTGAAAAACTCATTTTTTACCTATATGCTGATGACTATAAATCTTGGCGCGCTGTAGGAACTCATACCGATTCATAGTAGTTACAAATATATTTTAATCGATTATTTAATTAGTGTTATGATAACAAACTAGAGGTACATATTACACATATACAAATGCAGCAACTCTTTTGAAGATACCATCATTAGAAACATTTCGAAAAATTTATGACATAAAATTCATGTTCAAAATTCATGATTTAAAATTCACATTCAAAATTCTATCGGTTACTTTAAATAATTCTAAAGTTCATGATAAATTTGTTCCGTATTATAGAATATATACTAAGAGAGGAATTCTACTCCTCCATGAACAGAATTGCAGAGCGTATTATTTAAATAAATTAGCATTTCTTTTATATGACTGTGAATGATCTTATTCAGAGTGATTATACGTTTCTTAAATGGAGTTTTAGAGTATAGGTAGTAGATTGCCAAGACTGCACTAGTTACAAATAAGTTTCTAGAATCTTTCTAGAACAAGTTCAACACTTATAAACCGTTGCTGCAAGGTTGGAAGATACAATTCTGGTTTTAGTTACGAGGCGACAAAAAGCGAAATTAGAAGAGCGAAGAAGCGTTAAAATGCGCGATATAGTAGTGAGCCGCTGTATATCTAATAATAGTGATGTTAATTAGTTGAAAGGTGTTTTTATTACGCGACATTTCGTGTCAGAAGTGAGATTAAAGAAAATTGAAGGAGGAGAAGGATTTTGAAGAATTCCATTGAATACTCCATTTGATCGGTCAATTTTTTGGACGCTTCTATCGACTGTGAGTAACCCTAACGAAGAGAGAATAGACTGACATCGTCGAAGAATTATATATAGTTTTCTGGAAGTTTTTACCGAATTGTGAGTTACCCCAACAAACTCCATACCATTGGAAAACTAAAAGAAAAAGAAAGAAATACGAATTCAAGGCCATCGAAGAATTTCATTGAACTTTCTGGATGTTTCCATTGGCTACGAGAATCCGTAACTTATCATCTCTGAATAGGAAAAATTCTGGGGTTATCGATGAGTTCCACTGAGTTTTCTGGAAGTTTCCGCGGTTCGTAAATAACTCCAACAGGTCATATATAATTCGAAAGCTCTAAAAGAATAAGGAATGAATTCGACGAATTTTCTGGAAGTTTCTATCGGCTGCAGAAAATTGACTTCCGTACCGAACATAAACTTGTAGTATTAGTTAGTACAACACTGTTGGAGGAAATGGAGTGTGGAATGAATTAACAACCTTTAGCGAAGAACAAAATCGGTAAAATATCGAGCTTCAGTCGAAATTGACGACGTGTTTCTGATTCGTGACGATGGTTCTCCACCAATATCCTGGTGTTTGCGAAAGATCATGCAGCTTCATCTACGAAAAGATAATATAGTGAGAGTGGGGTCGGTAAAAATCGATTGTGGTGCAATTCTAAAACGCTCTAACTAAATTGTGCGTGTTGCTAGTGAATATATAATTGTGTAGGTAATTATAAATCTGTTCAAAGTGAGCCTTTCAAGATGGCCGGCATTTTGGATACGCAGAATATTTTGCCGTTTTCTTTCAACTTGTGATGAGTAGACACAAACATTTTATAGTTCTTAGTATTTACTGTTTGTCATGAACACTTTATTACTTAATGGTCAAAATCCCCTCGGCTGCATCCCTTCTAGGTGTAGTGACCGTCTACCTGAGGGTTACAGTGCTAGTTAATAAAAAGCATAAGCAGTCATGAGAACTGCCGACAGAAGTGAAAACTTAAAACTATGAAAACAGTGTTTTTTTTTTATTGTAGTATCAGTTTTTAAAATTTCATAATTTGTAAATTAAAATACAATTTTAACAGTGCATAATATTGTATAGATATACATATCAGTGATGATGCACAACATGTTACCCTTATAGCTACAGATATGCACTGTATAAAATCTAAGATTGCATGCGGTCATAATTCCAAACTGTAACAATCAATCAACAACTTCGGAGTCAAATAGTTTTACTTCAGTAGTGAAGTAACGGGGATACTATATTACGAGGATGGCCTGTCCATCATCATCTTACCAATTTTTGACCATTGGAACGTTTTTCTAGGTCAACTGAAGAAGTTAAGCTACGTCCCTTTTGTCAACAATACCAGAAGCTCTTGCACTGGAATTGTCGAAAAATTGGGGTGAAGTTTTTGAATTTCCCGCGTAAAGTTATTGAGTATTAAATAGAGAGATGTTGCTGGAATATTGAGAAATGGTTTTCTATAAAAGTGTGTATATTTGTAGCTTTTGTTTTTATTGTCTATTGAATTTTTTGAATAGATGTCGCAAAAATGTCTATAAAATGAAACTTGAACAACGCTCGATCAGTTTAAATTTAAATTTTCTCTTTAAAAGAGACTAAAATTCTAGATTAAATAAAGATAATGATGGTTCATCTCCTTCTATCAGCTCTTTACACATATACGAAACAATATACTCTAACAAATATTTTATTTTGCTAATCCAGTTACGGTTTATTTACAACTACATTAATTCAAATATTAGGTACTGTATCTTCTGAAATAGCACATCCGTATTATTCTATTACACAAGTGTATTAGAAAACGATTCCATATTAAAGCTTGTTTTCAACTACGGACTTGAACGCAAACAGATAGTATGTACATCGCTAAAGCAAAGCGTTGCCAATTTACCTTTACAATTATTATTATTATCTTACTAGATTTTTCAAAAACATTTTTAATAATTTTAATAAACATTTTCTCTAGCACACTTCGATATTTTACGTATAAAATCATTTAAATAACAATTTCCACAAACTTTAAATTCTATACCAAAAATCGCTCAACGCTTCACGAAGTTTTCACATCAAAATAATAAAATAATGCTGTTAATTAAGAATTGATTGGACGTGGCGTTGTATTGTATTTTTTTACCAAGGCCGGAATTAAGTTCGTCTGTAATTTTAACTACGTTTTTCCCTGGAAATTTCGGACATACATTTACTTAATTTTCTTATTTTATAATGCGGAGCTTGCAGGAGGTCCCGCACCTATTTCAGTTATGCCCTGTTAAGCGACAAAATAGATGCTGAAAAACTCATTTTTTACCTATATGCTGATGACTATAAATCTTGGCGCGCTGTAGGAACTCATACCGATTCATAGTAGTTACAAATATATTTTAATCGATTATTTAATTAGTGTTATGATAACAAACTAGAGGTACATATTACACATATACAAATGCAGCAACTCTTTTGAAGATACCATCATTAGAAACATTTCGAAAAATTTATGACATAAAATTCATGTTCAAAATTCANAGTATGTGGGTTGTTCTAATTTTGGGGAAATGCGAAGATTAGCTCAGGATAGGAAAGAGTGGAGGTACGTGTCCAACTAACCTTATGATGATGATGATTGGTTCAGTATGTCTATTTAGTGTGTGTGCCCTCACTCCATTTTGTAAAGTTTGTAGTATGGGTAGTTAGTTATATAGATTTTCAGAAATTTCACTAAAAATTTAGAGGAACAAAGGTATTGATATTGTCTGTTATTTACCGATCATTTCAGATCATTTATGAAAGAGAAGCAAACGTTCACAATAGTGAATTGAATAAATAAATCTTGGTTATAACTATGAGCGTAAAGGTAAACTGATCACTGGTCCAGACGGAATACAAAATAACAAATCTACTGATACTCTTAATTTTCCGTCTATACGGATCACAAGCCACATTAAAGCAGTGCGAGTAAAATTTTCGAGGGTATTATACTATTATCTATATATATATAAATGAATGTTTGTCTGTATGTCCTTTATAGAATCGTAAACTAAGCATTTGATCATGTGATGATCTTTAGCGAAGTTGTTGTGCATGAGCCAAAGAAGGTTTCTGAGTTGGTACGACCAATTTTCGACAGGAAAAACAAGAAATATTGTGTATCCCACAGCACTTCAATAAATATCGAGTTGATACGAAACGCTGCAATGTCACAATTTTTTCGAAATGAACAAAATCAATAAAATGACTCAAAATGAATTAAATATTTGTGTAATGTCTTTTATTCAAATTTGTTTTAGTTGGTGGCGTAGCAACGTACGCAGGGTACAGCTAGTATTTTATAAAACCACAAATATAAAATTACATTAT